TATTCCAGTTCCCCCATACTGGGATCGTGTCTAGCTTTTATTTTTCAGACTGCCACTAATGTCGCCACAACCGTGGGGCTGAGAACCTTCTAACATTTAGAAGATTCGTCGGCCATCGGCTGGCTGGACCAAGGGAAGCAGCACTCCTTGTGTTTTGGTGGTGTGTGCGTAGTCAGAACTGAAAAAAAGCGGAAGACGTGCACGGAAACTTGTCCTCAGCAGGCGGGAACTTTTGTAGTGAGCTGACTATGAACTCCAGACTGCATAATTATTTTAAAGACTTCGTAACATTATAAGTAGGGTACAATGGGGACTCAAATATCTTCTGAACAAAACCACATTTATTTAATCTTAAAATGCGAGCTGAAGCAGCACAGCGCGAAAACTGACGAACAGCCCTTGCAGAACCTGTTGCTGTGTGCCCAGCGTCACATGTCAGAACTGAACGTCACTGACCTTCTTGATATGCGCTTGTGGGACTCGGCAACCGCCCGAAAAAACCTCAGCAGCTGCTGCCCCGGACGGGCCCCAGCCCCTGAGCGGAGCGCACAAGCACACTGCAGCCCGACACACGCTGCCCAGAGAGAGCCGTGTGACACAGAACCACGGCCACCGCCGCTGCAGCCACCCTGTGCAGGGTCAGGGTGGGAGCCAGCGCCAGCAAACTGCCGCGCTGCCTCGGCAAGTTCCCGTATCGCCGCCCGCTACCGCTCTCAGCAGCAGCAGCCAAGCAGCGGCCAGAGGCGCCAGGTCAACACCCTGGAGCAGGTCCCTGAGGAAGGGCCACCACCTCCGGCGCCCCAGCGAACAACGAGATCGAGAGACCCGCGCCGGCGGAAGCAGCAGCGGGACCCGAGCGGGAACCACTCAGAAGGCAGGAAGGACCCGGAAACGCACAAACAAAAGAGGCACCGCGAAAAACAAACAGAAGTAGAACACTAGGCATGCAAAAACCGGGGCTATGGAGCGTGGGCGGCGGGAAGGATCCCACGGAGTGCCCGGGGGACTCCGGGAAAGGTCCGAGGGAGGAAAAAGCACAAGCGGGACCGTCGGTGAAGGAGGGAGCGAGCGGAAGCCCAGCGGCAACAGCACGAGACAAACCCAGGAACAGAGGGACCCCAGAGACAAACGGAGTGGGGCAGACACAAAGCTGCCGACTTCAGCAGTAGTCAAAGCAGCAAAAACCCCCTTCCCTGATTTTTTTCCTTTTTCTTTGCAGCCTAAACTAAGAACTGGTCTTTTTTTGCAAACCCTTTTGTTTATCAACCGGTTTCAGTTTAACAGTGTGAGTAAGGCGAACAAAACGCTACCAATGGAGAGACTGTCCCCCTCCGCAAAACAAACAAACAAAAAAAAAAAAAAAAGGGGGGGAAAGCGAAGGAAGCAAAGAACCTTTGCTGAATGAAGACACCCTTCCACAGCTAATAGCCAGAATTGTTTTTAAATGTATGCATAGCTGTATTTTTGAAAATTTTAAAGTTTTTGCAATAACAATTTTCTTTTAAGTCCAAAAGCCAAATTAGCACAGAAAGACATATATTTGCCTTAAAAATAGAAGACGTATATATTTTATCCTTGAACTATAGAAATGTTTATATGTATTTGAAATTTAAATTAAACATGAAGTAAAATATGCTTATGTTTCTACAGGTTATACTATAATAAAAACCAGAAAACATATATTACTAATCTGAGGGTGAGAAACAAAAAATGCCAATTTCTCAGTTCATAACCAAAAGACACTGTAAAATGAAACCCAAAGGTATGTTTGTATGATGTGTGTTCGATGGCCATCGAGTATGAATGTGTGAATGTATGCATGCATGTGAATATATAATAATTAATATGTTTTGATTTATACACAAATGCGCATTACCTCACATGTGCACAAACACCCTTAGATAAAAAACAGAAAACATATCACCCTCACTTGAATAGAATTTCATTTGCAGAGATGTTTTAGGTTAACTAAAAGTTTTCAAAACCAAACACTAAAAAACTTTCAGGTAAAAGTCAGGAGCACATGAACCCTGAAGTCATCAAGTTATTAAGTTTGGTTCAAAATCAATTGCTTATAAGTCAGTAGGATCTTTAGAGGATAGCTTAAATAAGATTTTATAAAAGTAATTTCTAATAAGAAATAATAGAAATAAGTTAAGTTGTTTAAACAAGTTTTGTATTAATCCAGGGTTATTTAGTTTAACATTGTTTGGAATTTTTCCTTCTTGCATTTTGTTCCTTGTTTACTTTTCTATATCCAAAAATGTTTGATAGTCTTTTTGATTGGTTAAATGTTCTTAATGTTATTGCTAAGTTTAAGAAAATAATTTTTGTAGCAATATGCAGAATACCTTAAAACAGCTATGATTCCTTCACATGCTTTTAGAATGCCAAACCTTGTGGCCCAAACTATTCTGACACACAACGCCTTTGCATAATCATACTTTCCATCTCAGGTATATAAAAGACTGTACATTTCCTTGAAAAAGGAGCCTCCTTGTTAAAATTAATTTCACTTGTGGTATTAAAAGTAAGACTGCAATATTTCTTGTTAGATCCATTTAAGAATAGCTTTGCTTCTAAAATGCAGCTATAGAATTTGTTATTACTCACTCTGAACTAATGCATCAAACCATTGATAAGTTGAAGAAAAAAACCAGTAATCATAGCTTAGATTACATGTTTAGTTAGCATGATAAATTTAATACTCTCGTTAAAGAAAACATTTATGGTAATATTTGTATTCCTTTGTATTTTGTCTTGCATTAGCAAACGTTTGATCAAAGTTTTTTCCAAGTTTTTTGTTTTTTAGAAAAATAAAAAAAAAAGGGCAGATGTGGGAGCCCAAACTCAGCTTTCAGCAAAGGAAAACAAGGGCTGACAAACACCTCATGGTCTGAAGGAGCTGGACCCTTCTCACAAGACCTGTTAAAGTTCTACCTTATGGATTAAGCCTGGCTCCAGCAGAAATCAGAAAGGACTCTTGAGATGATTGTATCAGACCATGTCTAAACCCCTTTAATCCCTTTCCCCCTATGTAA